CTATTTCTGAATAGCAGAATGTATCACAATATGAGTAACAGTGATTCTGGAAATAACTTGACTAGTTGCCTCATGTCAAAGGGTGAAGACCCTGGAGAAGGTGCCTCTTGGCAGGCTCAGATGTTGATCCCATCCTGGCTCAGATCATGATCTTTGTTTAAGTCCTTCTCCTTCACCTACTGTACCCCAAGACTCAGAGGCACCCAGTACAGGAGGCCCCACTCACTCTCCCCTCTACCCCAAGGAACCTATACAGCAGTTTCAAAATCAAGAGTTGCTTCAGAATTCTCTGGAGTACCTGCAAAGACTACAAGCCCTCAGGGTGTGTGCGTGCATGCGTGTGTGCGTGTGTGTGTGTGTGTGTGTGTGTGTGTTGAGGCTTGAACTCAGGGTCTCACGTGTGTGTGTGTGTGTGTGTGTGTGTGTGTGTGTGTGTGTGTGTATTGGGGCTTGGACTCAGGATCTCACACTTCTACTTGGGTTTTTGTCTCAGGGCTGGTGCTCTACCACTTTAGCTACAACCTCTGCTTCGAGCTTTTTGATGGGTGATTAGAGATCAGAGTCTCATAAGCTTTTCGTCCGGGGCTTCAAACCATGATTTTCAGATCTCAGCCTCCTGAGTAGCTAGGATTACAGGCTTCAGCCACCAGTATCTGGCAGGCCTCAGGTTTTATTTAATTTGGTTGAAACTTTCTCAGTTGCAAGAGGCATAGTAGGAGAATAACCAGAAAGTGTTCAACAAAATTTTTTTTTTTTTTGGTTGTGGAGCCTGATCTCTGGGCCTGGGCACTTTCCCTCAGTTCTTCAGCTTAAGGCTAGCACTCTACCACTTGAGCCACAGCACCACTTCTGGCCTTTACTGCTTATGTGGTGCTGAGGAATCGAACCCAGGGTCTCATGCATGCAAGGCAAGCACTCTACCACTGAGCCACCTTCCCAGCCTCAACAAATAATTTTGAATGGAAAAGGTATGTACTGTGTATTCTGAGAACCAACTGGAATTGGCAATGAGAGGATTACTCATCTGATGGGGATTTAGTGGGAAAGATGGATGGAACAGAGAGATGCTGGTATAAAAGAGAGAGACAATAACTTTCCTTGTGGAGTTCAAAGAAGTGGTCATGGACAGGGCTTTGTTGGGCAAAGATAGCACTAGCTTGTGTGGAATAAGGTGAAAGAGGTTGGCATACTTGGAAAGCTGCCAGTGGTGCTTTGTGCATGTATGGGAAGGAAGGAGACTTGAAGTACAAGTGCCTATAAGTGGTAGGGAAATAACAAGAACATTTTTCTGGACTTAAAAGAGTTCTCCAAGGGCTGGGAAGGTGGCTCAGTGGTAGAGCACTTGCCTTGCATGCCTGAGGCCCTGGGTTCGATTCCTCAGCACCACATAAGCAAAAAAGAAAAATAGCCAGAAGTGGCACTGTGGCTCAAGTGGTAGAGCACTAGCCTTGAGCTGAAGAGCTGAAGGACAGTGCCCAAGCCCAGAGTACAGGCCCCACGTCTGGTAAAAAAATAAAAAATAAAAGAGTTCTCCACGTTTCCTATCAGTGAATGAAGAAGACTTATCCCTAAGCATAGGCAAATCAAATTCAGGATTCCAGGGATGCATAGAGCCATCCTGAAAGCTATCAGAGTAAAAGTAAAATAAATATAAAAAGAAGTAATAATCAGAGTAGCATTAGACTACTCCATAGCTACATTAGAAACTGGAAGAAAATGAAGTCATACTTTCAAAATTACATGGAAAATTGTTTCCTATCTAGAACTGCATATCCAGGCAGATAGTCAAGGCATTAAGCATACATAGATTCTCAACATTTACATTCTTTGCATTGGATTCAAGTCCACAGAAATAAAAACCAAGAAAGACAAAATGGCAGATCCAGTTTTCCTTCAGAGGAAAGATGAAGGAGATGCTCAGAACAGTAATGAAGGGAAATCCCAGATCAAGTCAGGCCTAGAGAGCAACCATTCCAGCCTGACGACATCAGGGATGAAGTGTTTAGAAAGAATGTCTCTAAGAAAAAAACAGGCCTTTCCCCCTCCAAAAACATTTAGAGAGAAGGAAAAAAAAGAACCTTGTATTTTACTTCATTGAGAGGAATTCTTAAGAGTTTGAAGAGCTGAATAAATTAGTAGTAGTAAAAATTAAGCAAACAATAAAAACATGGCAACTAATAATTCTAGGAAAAACAAAATGTTATCCAAGAAGGAAAATATAGTCACTAAATGCAACATGGTACTACTAGAAATAATATTTACTTTGTCAGACTACTTTAAACCTTGAATATTGATCTAATGTTTCAATATTACCAAAACAAATGTTTAGGCAAGTGTGACATTTGTATATAGGGAGGTAAAGGATGATACAGGAGAAATAAAACCTTATCTTTCACAGGGAGAAGTTAATAGATAATATCTAAGATGGAATGCTTAAGAAATGGCATATAAACTCATTATTTAAAAATGTGGAGTTAAATGCCAGATGGATATTTATTTATTTATTTATTTATTTTGTCGGTCATGGGCTTGAACTCTGGGCTTGGGTGTTGTCCCTCAGCCCTTCAGCTCAAGGCTAGCAGTCTACCACTTGAGCCACAGTACTGCTTCCGGTTTTCTGGTGGTTAATTGGAGATTAGAGTCTCATGTATGTTCCTGCCTGGGCTGCCTTTGAACTGGCATCTTCATATCTCAGCCTCCTGAGTAGCTAGGATTACAGGTGTGAGCCACTGGCACCCAGCAGGACATTCTTAAAAGAGTTGAAATTAGTTGCTTTTAGTGAGTGAGAATTGGGTTTAGAGAGCAGTAAGGGCAGGGGGCTTGTATTTTGTATTATAAGATTTATAGACGTACTTCCTTTTAAAATTCTTGGATAAAATTCATAATAAAAATACATACCTACCACCTGTAATTCTAAGGAAGTCTCTTACATAGTGTTTTGCATTTTGTTGAACAGTGTTTATAGCTTGCATATGCTACATACCTACCTTGGACACATTTTTAACTTTTATGTAAACTTTCTTCTGTATAATTAAATGAACATTTGTAGTAAAAGTGGTTGATTCATAGATATTTATGCACTGTGCCTGAATACAAGGTTCCTTTAACCCCACTGTATTTGTTATATAGACTGGTCTTCTCAATGTTAGAACAAACACTTCTTCTTGCCTTCTCCTCAAAGTAGAACAGAGTTCCACTTCTCCGGTGAGCTGATGTTCCTAAAAGGGGATGGTTAGTCAGCTGCACATTAAAATCTCTCAGCAGACTGCTTACATCATCCAGCAAAGCTTCCAGTTGTTTATGGAGAAACTGTAAATTTATACTGAAGCAGATTGCCCTCTAGTTTGTTTTTTTTTTAATTCTGGAAAAAAAAGAAACCTTACAGAAAGATGGAAAGAGCAGTAAAATGCTATGTCTTTCACCTAACTTGGTCACGCATTAGCATCTTGCCATACTATTTTTTGTCTTGCATGGTCTGGGTTTCCTCTCTGGTTTATATTTTTAGGATTGGGTTAGGGAAGAGGCACAGGGGATGATGTCTACACTTTTTAAATGAGTTGGAGATATTAAAGATATCACTTTAATATATCTATATATCTCCTGAGAATAATGATATCTTCCTACAAATCCAAAATGCCATTATTTGTGATGGATAAAAATATTATCTAATGTATACTTGCTATTCAGATTTCCCTAAAAAATCTCATTTTATTCCTTAAATTTCTTAAGTAGACCTTTTTTTCTGTGTGTGGGGGGCGGGTGAAAGAGAGAGAATTGGTGCTTAAACTGAGGTCTTGGGCACTGTCTGCTTTTTTGCTCAAGGATAGCACTCTACCACTTGAACCATAGCTCTACTTTTGGCTTTTTGGTAGTTAATGGAGGTAAGAGTCTCAAGAACTTTCCTGCTTTAGCAGGCTTTGAACCACAATCCTCAGATCTCCGCCTTCTTAGTAGTTAGGATTACAGGCATGCTCCATGGGTGCCCTACCACTTTCCTGCTTTTTACAAAACTCGTTTTTTAATGAGATCAACAATTATGAGGAGTGAAGAGCAGTTTTGTAGAATGTCGTACAAATATGAGCATATCCTTCTGTCCCTCATTCTAATCTGCCTCACAAATTCTAGCAAAAGTACAACTACAGCTTTTTAGATACCATGTTTAACTTTTTATCCAGGTTCAGAACTTCAGTCTGTTGGCTTCTTTCTTTGTATGTTTTGGATTTTTCCTGACATTGAACAGTAAGAATAAATGCTTTCCTGTAGACTAGCAAGATTCCTTCAGCCATAGAAAAGTATCATTACAGTAATCTCAATACTATATACAAATATAATACACCTGGGAAGGCTTGAGATTTTGTTTTTAACATCTTTGGCAATGTGTTTTGGATGACTTAATATAATCAAGGGTAATTTTTCTACTCTTTAATTAAGTTCTGCTAGGGTATACAGTCCTGGAATCACTTTTCTATTGTCCTTAAGTTGAAAGTTTGTTTTTTGTTGTTTTTTGTTTTTGGAGTATAAATATGGAATCTGTGTCCGGTATACCATGTGTTGGCGGATGGACAGGGACTCAGTTTATGTAGGTTCTGTGAGAGGCAGAGGGCAACATGAAGCGATGGCATGCCACACATGCCAGAAGGGCTATGCAAGCTTGCTGTTGAAAGCACGCTTCCCGTCCGTCAGGCCTCCCTGATAGAGACCTGGTGACACAGTAGCCTTTAGGCAGAGCTCCCCGGGATGTGCTGGGACAGGTCGCGTTGGGGGAAATCGGAACCATTTCTCCCTGGACAGCTGCATTTCAAAGTCTGGACAAGTTGCTCTTGAATTTTGTACCGGTTGCCAGGGTGAGTGTTTTCCTTTCAGTTTGTTTGTCTCACTTTTCTTCTTGCTAAGTCGTCACGGTCTTTCTGGAAGCTTCACAGAACTTGTTATACACGATCTACAGAATATTCTCTCTCATTTATTTGCAATTCAACGTGTCCTTCTCTTTCTCCCTGCAGATCGTGTGGAAGGGCAATCCTTGTCATTATGAGATGTCGTCTCTCGGTGCCTCCTTTGTGCAAATTAAATTTGATGACTTGCAGTTTTTTGAAAACTGCGGTGGAGGGAGTTTTGGGAGTGTTTATCGAGCCAAATGGATATCGCAGGACAAGGAGGTGGCTGTAAAGAAGCTACTCAAAATAGAGAAAGAGGTAAGAGCTTTTCCTGATGTCAGAAATGCTCACCATGCCATTTATATAAGCTTTTCAACTTATACTTAGAGGGCTACAGGGCTGCAAGGGACCTAGCAAGGCCTTTGAGATGGATCCATGAGGCTATTTCCCAATTTCCATTCTGGGAGCCCCATAAATAGAAATTATTGCAGTGTGTGCCTTAGAGTTGCGTTCTATTAGGGGTCATCTGAAGTGAGAGATTTCTTTCTAGGGCATGGAAGAGCCAGTGTTCTCTGAGCTCGTTGTCCTGGAGGCAGAGGTGGTCTTAGGCCTTCCCCAGGGGTTGGGCTCTTGCCTAGGGCAACCAAGAGGGGGCAGTAAAGAGTAATGTGTGATGTTTTCATCTCCCGGCTATTTTTTCCCTTAGATTTGCAGTCCTCAGTTGTCTTTTAAACTGGGTGGGAAGGAGATAAGGGGGTGGAGAGCAATACTGGGCCTTGAACTCTGGGCTTTGTGCTCTTTTCACTCAGAGTCGGCACTCTATCACTTGAGCCACACCTTCACTTCTGGCTTTTTGCTGCTTAGTTGGAGATAAGCATTTCACCACCTTTCCTGCTTAGCTGGCTTTCAACTGCCACATCTCGGCCTCCTGTATAGCTAGGATTGCACATGTTTAAAAAAAGAGCATTTTAAATAAGAGTACCGTTTTTCTGCTGGGTTAAGCAATACCAGCTTCTTGGGTTTCACCTCTGCTTAAGACACACAGGGATGGGTTTGTGTAAGAAAGCATAAGAAGATACTTGAGACAGCTGCCCTTCCCTTGTAAAATCAGAAAAAGGTTTTGACTCTCCCTGTGAATTCAGGTTGCTCCTAGATGAACTTTTAGCTCCTAAAGCTTTCATCGTCCTAACAAATCTGACCCAACATGGTTCCCACATTCTCTTTTGGTACCCCAAGAATAAAACTGCTTGCCAGAGCTTAAAACTACTTAGCCCCTGCAGGACCTAAGCTTCTTTGGTAACTTAGGAAGTTTTTCAAAAACTTAAATATATTTTTAACAGACACATAAAAACATGAAAATTACACAAGTATGGTTTACCATGAAAAGGTTCAGGTCACATATATATTGAATAATGTTTAAATTAGGCTAAACATATCCATCGCTCCAAATATTTATCATTTCCCTTATGATGAAAACCTCCAAACTCTTTCTTCTGGCTTTTGGAATATATAGCACATAATTGTTATCTATTGTCATCTAGCTGATAACTTTTAATAGCTTTCCTCTGTAACTTGTTTTGGTCCTTACTATTTATGTCCGGTTTTAGCTAATTAGTATTCCTTTCCTTGTCCTATTTGAAGTGAACTGTTCCATAAATACCCTTTCATCTCCCTGAGTAATTTTACTGTTGTCATTAACTGCTGCCAGTGAAGTGTGGCAGTTGATTAGAGACGGCAACCCAGTAGTAGGACTTTGTGGGTCTTCTCTGGGAGTGCTTTTGTGGTTATGGCTCGCCAGCCAGTCAGCAGGACTAAGATGTCTCCACCTTAGATGTCTGTAGGCTTTCCAAAGCATTAAGAAATGAGAGCTGCTAAAGCCCATGAATGTCTTAGGCACTGGTGGCTCACAACTCTAATGCAGCTCCTCAGGAGGCTGACATCTGAGGATTATGGTATGAAGCCAGCCTAGACTAGAAAAGTCCATGAGAATAAAAACCAGAAGTGAAATTGTGGCTCAAGTGGTAGAATACCAGCCTTGAGTGAAAGAGCAAAGAGACAGTGCGCAGGCCCTGAACTGAAATTAGTCCTAGTATGCACTCATATGCATACACACTAAGTCTATTAAAGCCAATGTATATAAAACAGATGGATATTGGGTAGGAAAAGTGCTTTCCTTCCTGTTCTTCCTCCCCACTTTTTTCCTTCCTTCCTTCCTTCCTTCCTTCCTTCCTTCCTTCCTTTCTTTTTTTTTTTTTTTGTCGGCTGTGGGGCTTGAACTCTGGGCCTGGGCACTGTCCCTGAGCTCTTCTGCTCAAGGTAAGCACTCTACACTGGAACTACAGCACCACTTCTGGTTTTCTGGTGGTTAACTGGAGATAAGACACTCATGGACTTTCCTGCCTGGACTGGCTTTGAACTGGGATCCTCAGATCTCAGCCTCTAGAGTAGCTAAATTACAGGCGTGAGCCACCGGCTCCCAGCATAGAGCCATTGTTTTACTCTGGACTGAATCTTTTTGTAAACTTTGTTGTTGTCCCCATTTTATAGATTGGTACATAGAGCTTTGAGAAATGCATTAAGGTGCTCTGATTGGCCAAGTAAAATTTAGGAAGCTAGACCCTTCCCCCGCCCCCCCCCCACCTCCTGCTTCAGATTTTAATTCTGAGATTTCTTGTTGATTGAGAAACATTAGAAAATAAAGCAATTCTTTCCACTTTCATTAAAAAATGTGTATAACCATGTTAAGCATTAGGCCACAGAACTTTAACATAATGAGCATCTTACATGATTACTGGATGTGAGAAAGACTATGACACAGGAAACAGATTTCAAAGAAAAACAATTGTAGCTTGTTCTCTCCCTACCATGCCAGCATGCATACATCACACCTTTTCTCCTGTGTTTGAGAGAGCCAGAAAAATGACATGGGAAGGCACCAGGTAAGAGCAAGAGTTGGAAACTGCCCAGTCCTTCTTTTGTATAGGTCTTTAACCTGAGTATGTATAGCTCAGTAACTGAGGTGACTGCTGTAGATGATAGGAGCATGACTCAAAAGCTTAATTAGAAAAAACAAAAACTCCACTTCTGTTTAGGGGCTTGGTTTCAGCAGTGATTAGGAGTGAAGAAGTGATTATTCTGTTTGCCGGTCTATGTGAGGAAGCTCTATCCCACATACTGAATCCACAAGGGGTTAAGCATGTGAGAATTTTGACTGGGTGCTGGTAGCTGCTGAAAGGAAGTGTGCATGCTTGTTATTCTTTGTGAAGTCTTTTTCTAACTTTCATAAAGGTAAAAGTGATAAGCTCCAGAGGTTTTTTCCCTCATTTTATAGATTCCATCTTTATGTTACTTGGTCATTTTTTTATCCAAAAACTTTGAGAAAAAAATGTGATCTTTAATAAAGTGCTTTTCACTTACTTCCTATCTTACTAAGCGTATGTTTTGTGAATTATTTGCAATGTGGAAAATATATATGAAACCCTCTAACTGTGCTTATGTGACTGTTGGCTTTCAATCCATTTGCAGACTCTTAAGCAAGTGTAGTGAGTTTGTTACTTTCTGTTTTTGCCTTTAGATCTTTTCAACAGAACAAAGAAAGAAAAATAGTATTTACTTCCTTTTTTTTTTTTGTCTTTTTTGGTACTAGGGATCAAATCCAGGACGTTGCACTTGCTAAGCAAGCACTTTGCCACTGAGCTACATCCCAGCCCTACTTTGTTGTTGTTGTTGCTTTTAAACTGTTAAACATTGAGAAGAAGTATAAAAATAATACCATGAACTCTGATATGTGCATCTGCTAAACTTATCACTTAGTAATGTTGTATGTTTGCTTTCTGGATTTATATGCAATTATATTTATTTTTTACAGAATATAAGAGTAAATTGCAGAGGCTCTCTTTATATATTATTTTGTATACAGGGTCTGTATTCAGATATTAAAACTTGTTTCAATTGATTTTTGTGGCAATTTTTTTCCCAAGTAGGATTGAATCTGAGAAGATAGTTTCTGCTTTAATCTTCAGCTCTTTCTCTGCCTTGGTCTGGTTGTCCCCTCGCCTACGTTAAGCATATGTTGTTTGGTGGGAACATTACATGGTCATTTGTAGTCCTCCACCAATTTAATGGGAGTTGAATGATGTCAGTTTATCTCATTATTGGTGCCATTGCTTTTGAACCCTTAGTTAAGAGAACTTCATTCAATTTCTCTGTCGTAAAAATACCTGTTTTTCCTTTGTAATTAATAGTTAAGCTCTTGGTAGATACTTTGAGGCTATGTAAATATTTTTCTTCAAACACTTACCCAATACCATTGATTTTTGTCTGCTAGTTTATGATAGTTTACTGTTATTATCTCCTTATTTCTTTCCTGTCTTCCCTTTATTCACTCATTATTTATAGACTTTAAAGCTTTTCCAAATACAAAGTGTTATAGTCCATTACTATTGTCACTCATTTTTGTCTTTAAATTGTCATCCCAAATGAGAACTGAACTTGAGGCTGGCTTCTGGGTGGTTTTGATATGTCTTCCTTGAGTTTTGATGATTCTTTTCACTTCTTGGCACAAAGTAATGTCCCTAGCTCATCAAGTTCCTGTACCAGTACTGGGTCAGCCATGTCTGAAGTAAGTCTTGAGTCAGATATTAGTACTAGGATCACATATTTTAGGCTTAGAAAAAAGTACCCTTATTCTTAAGCAGAAATGATGGTAATAGAGAATTTTTAAAATGAAACCATTTAATTTAAATGTTAAAATTTTACCTCTACATACAATGGATATTAATACTCATGGTTTTTCTTTCTAGAGAAGAGTTTAGCCAAAACGTATTTCCAGGAAAGAAAATTACTTAAAATGTTTACTTATTTTGAGCCAGAGATCTTCTAAGGACTTTTTTGGGGGGTCTGGTTGTGCCTTCCCAGCCCCTTCTAAGGAGTTTTATCCTGAGGAAATAATCAGAGACATACAGACAAATGGATACAGTAGGAGTTCCTCTCAGGTGCAGAAAGGCAGGGTATTAGAAACTGTAACAAACAAAGCAATAGCTCATGGCTGTACAATGAAATTCCATTCCATTTGAAAGAATATATAAAAAACTAGGAAAATGCTCATAACAGATTAGTTGTTAAGGGGTGAAAAGCATGGTCTATACAACTTTGCTTATAATGTGATCCCATGTATTTGTTTTGGAGTATGTCTATTGCTTTTATTTTAACTGAACATCTGTATTTTTCTAAGATGGCATCGTATTTTCCTCTAATATTTTATTATGAAAAATTTCACACATAAAAGTGAAGATGCTTATACACACCATGGGGTTTCT